ATTCTTATATTTATATATGTATTGTGTATTTAGGCAGCAATCCCTCTTTTATACATGTTTCGTTAAAGACAACTCTCTAGGTACTGAGATTAAGCTTTTTATTTACTTTGTCTTGTGTCCGTACGAGTGTTTTCTTTTCTGGACACAAAATGTATATAACCGTGGAAAAGTTCCGCATCTCCGAGCGATTTCGGCTATACCTTTAGCCATTATCAAGGATGATTTTATTTTTACTTTTAACTGAATGTATCTGTTGTGTTATGTATGTATCTTTAGTTATAGAGATGTTTTATTTTCCAAACACAGTCAGCACACCGTGGTCGTGTTCATAGTTAATGTTATTGAGGTTTGGCTTCTTGTTTTTATATTATTAGGGCTTCCATTATTTTAATTTTTTTTTTTTACATGTGGATGAGGTTATTATGCATGTATTTTCTACTAGTATGCTTCGGATGGAGTGTGGTGGGTTTTTCTGCGTGTTTAAATGAGTTTTAATAAAGGTGTGGTAGAATAGGTGAAATCGCAGTACCTTTTCAGTTGCCTTTAACTAAACAGTGGATGACAATATATATATATATATATATATATATATATATATATATATATAATCGACTCACCCGTCGAATTCGATGTATGAGGGTCAAGCAGATCAGTTTCCAGGAAACCGACAGCCCGACAACAGCACATGAGATTTGATTATAGTGGTGAAGGTTTCGTGCAAGGACCATCCACACTTTTTGAAGGGCCGAATACAGAGACCTAGTGCACTACGTGCCACAAGGTCCCCAAAAGAACCCTCCGCAAGTTTTGAATTCAGAGTTGTCCTTCTCCTAGACCTGTTGCCATCCAATGCTATAGAACACAGTCTGTCCTGCTATTTACCCATAGGTGGAGGAGAAGAAGAGGATTCACACCTTTCCAAGGGTATTAGTACGTAAGTGAATGTATTAGTATGTAAGTGAATGTCAGTCGTTTTCATGAAACTTGTATATATATATATATATATATATATATATATATATATATATATATATATATATATATATATATGTGTGTGTGTGTGTGTGTGTGTGTGTGTGTGTAGTTGTATTTACATCTAAATAAATTTATATCTAATAACTATTTAAATATATGTAATTTGTCGAGCTACCCTTCGACATACATGGTCACAAACCTGTTTGAGCCTGAAAGATTGTCACTACCTAGTGTTGATGCCTATATTTACATACTTTATCCTAGATCATTTTTTCTCCCATTAATATAGCATACCTTACTACATACATATGTTTATATATATATATATATATATATATATATATATATATATATATATATATATATATATATATATATTTGTATTGTCATCCACAGACTGAGTGTTTCGCTGTATCCACAGCTCTTCAGTGCGGCTAGATATCCTATTGCTTCAAACTGGGACCGAAACCCGACCGATTTGGCCTCAGTCAGGGATCATATCATATCGCCGCACGGTGGAGAGAAAGTAAATTTTAACGTTTTCTATACGAAATACACCAGTGACGCGTATATATATATATATATATATATATATATATATATATATATATATATATATTGACTGTTTCTTGCTTTATCACAGCTCTTCAGTGTGGTTAGACGTCCGGTTGCTTTAGTTAGGATCGAAACTCGGCTGAATTGGCGTCAGTCGGAGTTTCTACCACGGCAGGGATGAAGGTGAATTTTAGCGTATTTATTTTTAGATAAACACACAGAAACTGAGATGACTTTACTGAAGAGTCTTGCTATAATAGCCGTAATATTCACTGTTTACAGACTCACTTCCTCTCCCAGAGTATATATATATATATATATATATATATATATATATCTAAAATCATAACGTAATAGCAAAAAAAAAAAAATGTATAAAAAACAATGTCTAGATAAACGTAATGCAAGTAAAAAAAAAAAATGCATTTATAAAATGTATGCCTTACTTCTTCTACAGAATTGTCATAGGAATCAAAGGTTTTACGGCAAGCTATTCCTTGCGAATAAAGTGTTCATTATGAAGAAAAATTATGCTTGACTATTTTTATCCAAACAGGTATCTAGCTGCATTTTGGTTTAATTGATCGTCCGTTCTGTAATTATTAACCACGTTTTTCATGGAATTATTTCTTTTTACCACTTTCTTTTTAATTATATATTTGGCTTGGTTAATTAAATTTAAGTAATTTATCATAAAAAATATTTATTGTCAAAAAGTCTCTTCCAAAATGTCAATAAATTCTTTAAAACTATTACGGACAAAGGGAACAGCACACGGATTTTATTTTTTAAAAACCGCACTGCATTTGATCCTTAAGTGGAATTCCTATGTACGATCCATCGCCAACGATGCAGGTAAAATGATCAGCTCCCTGTACCGCTCCAGTAAGTACCTGACTCCTCGTTCTACCTTTATAAGAGCCAGTTCAGATCCAAAAATGGAGTACTGTTACCATATTTGGGCTGGAGCGGCCCAGACCCCACTTTTCCGTCTTGATAGAGTCAAAAGCGTGTCCGAGTTCACGTGGGAGAAGAATTATTTTCTACACCCCAACCTCTCTCTCTTTCACTCTCTCTCTCTCTCTCTCTCTCCCTTTCTCTCATTCACAGACCGGATGTTGTGAGTCTCTCACTGCTCTATCGTTACTACCATGGCAAGTGCTCGGACGAACTGCATCTCTTGGTTCCACCAGGACTGACCTTCACGGCTAGGACCCGCCATGTTACTTACATTGTAGCAAGCCATCCACTTTTCCTCCGTATTCCATTGGCGAGAAGTATTTTCCACTTTAACAGCGTCTTCTCGCGGACCACTACCCTATGGAACAGACAATCTAGAGGA